CTTTGGCGGGGGTGGCAGGCGTATGTCTCTTTTAGGGCAGGCTCTTCCATCTGCTTGGGCTTCCCCCTCGACCCGGGGGCTGGAGCTGGCCCCAGGCTTGCCTGGATCTGGGCCCCGCAGCTGGGGGCTCCCCACCCCCAGCATTGGGGACCCTGCACCAGCATCGCCCAGCTCCGCACCCCTACCCCGCTCCTCCTCCCCAGACTCCCAAACTCTAACCTGCTCCTGCACCTCTCCTGCCCAGCCCCAGTCTGCTTCCTGGCAGCCCCCCACTCACTGAACCCCTCATTCTGGCCCCTCCCCAGGGCCCCACAAAAATCTACTAGCCTGGTCCCCCCAGGCTCTGGTGTGTGAGGGGGATGTGGCGGATTGTCTTTCTGCTCAGTTGGGGCCTCATCAGTGAGATTTTTTGGTTTGGTTTGGTTTTGCTTCTCGCTTTTGTGCAGCCCCCGACCGATTTTTTTTTTGCGGGTCAGCGGCCACCGATCCATAAAGGGTTCAAGTTGCAGTGGGGGAGGTCTAGGTTGGAGATTAGGAAAAACGATTTCCCTAGGCGGGTGGGGAAGCTCTGGGATGGGTTCCCTAGGGAGGGGGTGGAATCTCCATCCGAGGTTTTTACGTCCCGGCTTCACAAAGCCCTGGCTGGAATGATGGAGTTGGGGTTGGTCCTGCTTTGGGCAGGGGGCTGGACTCTGACTCCTGAGGTCTCTTCCAGCCCTAGGATTCTAGGATCTCCCTGGTTCTGCATCCCTGGGTCGCATTAGCCCTTTTGGTCATGGTGGTGCACTAAGAGCTCCTGATCAGCTGATTCTCCATCAGCACGGGAAGGACCAAATTTCCCGAAGCTGAACCCGGGTGCCCAGGTTAATTGGCCTTGTTTGCCTGGGGTTAGCCTCCTCCCCTCCTTCAAAAAGCCCTGGCTCTTGCAACAGAGCCCCGGGAATCCAGCCAGCAGATCCCTGCCATTAGCCAGGGGGGGCTAACTGGCTCCTTTCCTCCTTTCCCACGTCCCAAAAGAGATCCTGGCCCCCCTCCGAGGCAGACGGGCACAGACAGAAAGCAAGACAAGCCAGATTTTAAAGGATATTCAGCCACCTCACCCTGAGACTTAAGGAACTGCAAAAACTGGGGCCTTGAAATCTAGTTTGACAAAGGGGGGGAGGGGAAACTGAGGCACAGAGAGGGGAAACTGAGGCACGTGCCACGACTCACCCAAGATCACCCAGCAGGTCACTGGCAGATTGGTGGAGTGGGGTGTGTGTGTCTATTTCCGGCTCTCCTGAGGCCAGCCCAGCGCTAGATCCACTCCTCTCCTGTATCCTCTGTCAAGAGTTTTTCATGGGTCACATGACGCGGATTCCCCCAGAGGCTTTTTTTCCAGCCGCCCTGCCACTGCTGATCACACGTTGACCTTTGTGCCAGGGAGCAAAGAGCCCAGGATTAGCCGGGAGGTGGGATGGCCCCGGTGTGGGACGGGTTTCCCCAGACCTGGATGTGCAGGAGGCCATGGGACAGGACCGAGGGACTTGGCGGAGCCGTGCGGAGAGGACATCTAGGAAGTGGGGGTGAAAAATCCCCATCGGGGAGGGGAACTGCCGGAGTGGTGGGGGGTGGGGCTCGTCCAGAGCCTGCCTCACCCCACTGGAGTCCATGGGGCCGGGTGCTCTTGCAGCTTCGGGTGGGGGGTAGGAGGCAGGCCAGCCCATCCCGCGGCAGCAGCCCCCAGGAACTTGCTGTGCTGACGGGGTGGCGGTGGG